GTATATGAATATATTGTGTGTGTGCATATATACATAATAAATATACTCAGTACACACATATATAAATGTGACCCTGGAGCACAAAACCAGTCATAAGGGTCAATTTTTTAAAATTGGGATGTATGCATCATCTGGAAGCTGAATACATCTTTCCATTGGTGTACGGTTTGTTAGGATAGGACAATATTTGGCTGAGATGCAACTATTTGAAAATCTGGAATCTGAGGGTGCAAAAAAATCTAAATATTGAGAAAATCATCTTTAAAGTTGTTCAAATGAAGTTCTTAGCAATGCATATTACTAATCAAACATTAAGTTTTGATATATTTACGGTAGGAAGCTCACAAAATAACTTCATGGAACATGATCTTTACTTAATATCCTAATGATTTTTGTCATAAAAGAGAAATGTATAATTGTGACCCATACAATGTATTGTTGGCTATTGCTACAAATATCCCCCAGCGACTCAACACTGCTTTTGTGCTGCAGGCTCGCATATATGTTAGCTGCCAGTTTCCCGCTGACATGTTGCAAGCTTTATTTGCAAGCTTAATAATCAGATACAAATGATCATATTTTGACATCACTACAGGGAAATAACCTGATTTATTAATGAAGTCATGCAAACGCAGTTTACTTGCGTTGTCAGTTTACTAATGTGCATGCAAACAGGGAAAACTGGTTATTTTAATAAGCTCATATTTGTGAGTTCTCAGCTTACTGGGGTGCATATGTAAAGTGCTCATTAATTTCCATACCTGCGTATCTGCAGCGGATAAGGCGTACTGTGAGATGTCCCAGACCTTAATGACTCCGGCTGTGTCTCCGGTGACAAGTAGACTGTTTTCCTGGTCTGTGCTTAAACCCATCACACTCTCATCAGATCCATCAGGTGCATAGAACTGTCCTGCAGCAGAAATGATTGGCCAAACTAGTCATTAATCAACTGCTCTGTGCGTTTCAGCAAAACAAACACCCAGAAACTGAGTAGAAGCCAGATGATCAGATTGAAAGAAGCCTTTCCAGCTATTTCAGTATTGTTGAGCGTTGCCAGCAAGCAAGGACATTTGTGAGTAACAGCTCGATTGTATATTATACTCTCTATAATACTCACCAGGCTGCATTTATTTGATCATAAATACAGTAAAACAGTGAAACATTATTAGTTTCAAAGAAGTGTTTTCTATGTGAATATATTGTAAAATGTAATTTGATGCAAAGCTTTGTTACTCGTTTATATATGCTAATTTGCTCTCTTTTCATTATCACTGTTGAAAACAGTTGTGCTGCTTCATATTTTTGTGGAGACAGTGATACATTTTCAGGTTTTTTGATGAATAGAAAATTCAAAAGAAGAGCATTTATTTCAAATAGATTTTTTAGTAACACTATAAATGTCTTTACTGTCAATTCTGATCAATTTAATGCTTCCTTGCTGAATAAAAGTATTAATTTCTGTTACTGACCCCAAACTTTTTTATGGTAGTGCATCCACAAAAATATTAAGCAAAAAAAACAAAATACATTTTTTAACATTGAAACAGCAAATCACCATATTATCATCACATGAATAAATACAAATTTTAAATATACTGAATAAAACATTTAGTGCCCTACACAACTAAACAAGTCCAATAAAATTCCAATATAAACTTTAAAATATATAAACAATAGGGCTGTCAAATGATTAATCGCATCCAAAATAAAAGTTTTGTTTACATAATATATGTGTGTGTACTGTGTATATTTATTATGTATGTATAAATACACACACATGCATGCATACTAATTAAAAATAGAAAATAGTTATTTTAAATAGTAAGAACATCTCACAATATTACTTGTTATTGTATTTTGGATCAAATAAATGCATCCGTGGTGAGCAGACTTCTTTCAAAAACATTAAAAATCTACTCCAGACTTTTTCAGATATATTGTGCTTTCTGAAGTGAAGTGCAATTTAAAACAGTCCTCAGTTTAAAAAGGTCTGTATTACAGTGTCTGTGATGTGTTAAGTTGTAATTGTGTTTACCGTGGTTGTGTCTGGGCCCAGAGATGCTCCAGCAGCAGACACATCCATTCTGTGAGCTGAGAAGCACAGCGCCGCTTCTCAGATGACTTTGCTGGGCTCGTCTTTGCAAGAACAGCAGTCTATGAACAGGACGATGAGCTCTACACACACAGATCACTTATTTCAAGTAACTAGTAAAGTAACGCATTACTTCTTAATCTACAAGAGAATATCTGAGTTACTTTTTCAAATAAGTAACTCAAGTTACTTTTTTTCAAATTTATTGATTGACAGCTCTGGTGTTGCCATGGTGACAGAAATCAGATGCTACTGTAGTTCTAAAATAAATATGAATATGCATTAATTCATCTCACTCACACAAAAACCCCACAGATTCAGTATTCCTCAAAATGAATAAAAATAAAGCAACGCAGAATATGACGCAAACCTGCAATAATTAAATGTTAAACAACACAAATATGCTTTATGTATTTAATCCCATTCTATTAGCTTCTGATCTTCGATGATGCAGTTCAAGCGTACTAATAAGCACACATTACTCTAGACGAACATCTGTGTGTCTTTGTTTATTGCTGAAGTGTTGAAATGTCTTCTTCTGCATTCTACTGTACTTTCCCTTCAGCCTGAGGCGCATTCATTTCACTTTTGCTGTGAAAGGCTTTTATATTTGCCAAAAATATAACTTTTTTATTTTAAAAACAAACAAGCAAGCCCTGTCCAGATTTAAAAAGTAACGTAACGCATTACTTTCCATAAAAAGTAACTAAGTATCGTAATTAGTTACTTTTTTATGGAGTAACGCAATATTGTAATGCATTACTTTTAAAAGTAACTTTTTTGCATGACTGTTAAATGCAAATAATAAAACCAAAGCAAGTAACCAAACAAGCATGTTTTGTTAGGATAACGAAATTAATCTCGTTGTGTGAAATTAGTAACTTCCGAGATTACAGACTCCTTGAAATTCAGGAGACATATAGAAATCAAAATAGTCAGTTTACCTACACAGACAATGCTATGTTAATAATTTTGCAAATTGTTAGGCATGAATTCTATGATGATAATAATAATAAAATGCAATATTTGATTTTAAGACCAATTTTCTTAAATTTTTGCACTGTGTTGGTTTATAATCTGGATCCTACAATGAAAAAAAAACAGTGTTCAAAGAATATTCTTTGCAAAAGAATAAGTTGCAAAATTTTATGAATTATTACAAAGTAACAGCAACTAACACGTTGAATTAAACTACAATTTTAAGTCGAAAGACTAACAGTTTTTCCTTTAAAACACACTCCAACAATCTTTGTTTTATTTACAACTTTGAAAAATAGTTTTTTATAGTGCAAATGGACATTTTATACTTTTTTTTCTTACTGTGCATTACTTGCAACGTCCTGACTTGTGACACTTGCCTTGATAGTGCCATTGGTGGCTGCGGAGATCAGTCTGCGCTGATGTACATCTAGTGCCATACAGGAAACCTCCTCCTTACCGTGAGCGTTCCTTACTTCTATCTTCTTAATGCCTGTTTTCACATCTCACACAGTCAATGTGGAGTCAGCGCAGGCTGTGATTACCTAGACCATGCACATTAAATAAGAACTTATAATGTTCAGTCCACAAACTATCAATCAAACAAACCCAAACACCAACCTGTTGAAGATGTGGATTATAGAGGGCGCAGGTGCAAATCCCAGACCTGCTGTCGGATTCGGTCTTCGGCCAGATACTCCCTGCAGGTCACCAGAAGCACAGGATCTGCAGTCAGGTTGAGGAGCAGAGGAAAGCTGCCCTAAACTACAATTTTAAGTCGAAAGACTAACAGTTTTTCCTTTAAAACACACTCCAACAATCTTTGTTTTATTTACAACTTTGAAAAATAGTTTTTTATAGTGCAAATGGACATTTTATACTTTTTTTTCTTACTGTGCATTACTTGCAACGAATCTCAGGTCCCAGCACATGACTGATAAGCATGCAACGTTCATTTTACGATATTATATATATTGCAAGGTTATTATGCACATTGCAGGGATGTTATAAAGAGGTCGTTTTGAGTACTTTTTCTACATTTTATTGTACTATTTTCCCACTTATGTTTATTTATCCAGAAACATTTAGTTTCGCCTCATTTTTCACCTTCTCTCTGACCCTTGAAACCAAACACGCCGTTTTGCTACATTTATATTTGTAAATGAACTGCATTTTAGGATTGGCCAGCAAGCTGCTGAATACTTATTTCCAAAAATAGTTTAGGTGCACTGGGAAGGAATTCAGTGTTTAATATGTGTACTTAATACATAAAAACTGGTATTTCAAATAAGCAAGGAAAATGCCATTTTTTGCAGTCTGATTTCATACTGACTTCTGTTGCTGGTTTGTCTGCAGTCGTGTGATGGGTTTCTGCAGAGCCAGGCTCCATATAACGATCTCTCCATCATAACTCCCAGTAGCCAGAAGTCCCAGACCTGGACAGTGATCCATGGCTAGGATATCCTCGCCGTGCTGACGACCAGACTTCCAGGACAGGTCTGCATTTACATAGATGTCCTGTACTCACAGATACACTTCAGTAAATGTCTTTGAGATCTCCGGTTCTGCTGTGTCAGACCACCATTAAAACCCTGTTGTCATAGACGTCTCAAGGTATGACCACAAAAGCACACACCGAGTTGAACAGAACCAGAAAAAATGCACTTTATGTGTGTATTCTGGCTAAAAGCCCTTTTTGCTTTTAAGTATGGGTTAGTATGATTGAGACACAAACTGGCCCTTACTTCTGAGAATGCAATGCTATACTGAGCGATCAGTCGACTCCAGCCTGTGGCTAGAAGCTGGTTGTCATGGTGACAGATGACCCCGGTGACCTCTGCATTGGAGACGGTTTCTAGTTTATGAAGATTGAGGCCATTCAGTAAGTTCCACACCTATAGCAAGAGAATGCACACGTGCAGAACGTACTTAGAAACTCTGTTTGTAAAGGTATTAGCAGTAATATCGTGAAATGGTTTTACTAATTAACATAACGGTTTTCTATTTTAATATAGTGTAAACTGTAATGTATTTCTGTGATGCGCAGCTGTATTTTCAGCATCATTACTCCAGTCTTCAGTGTCACATGATCTTCAGAAATCAGTATAATGTGTCCTGACTTGTGACACTTGCCTTGATAGTGCCATTGGTGGCTGCGGAGATCAGTCTGCGCTGATGTACATCTAGTGCCATACAGGAGACCTCCTCCTTACCGTGAGCGTTCCTTATCTCCATCCTCTTAAGGCCTGTCTTCACATCCCACACCGTCAATGTGGAGTCGGCGCAGGCTGTGATTACCTAGACCACGTTAAAATAAGAAACGTTGAATTAAACTACAATTTTAAGTCGAAAGACTAACAGTTTTTCCTTTAAAACACACTCCAACAATCTTTGTTTTATTTACAACTTTGAAAAATAGTTTTTTATAGTGCAAATGGACATTTTATACTTTTTTTTCTTACTGTGCATTACTTGCAACGAATCTCAGGTCCCAGCACATGACTGATAAGCATGCAACGTTCATTTTACGATATTATATATATTGCAAGGTTATTATGCACATTGCAGGGATGTTATAAAGAGGTCGTTTTGAGTACTTTTTCTACATTTTATTGTACTATTTTCCCACTTATGTTTATTTATCCAGAAACATTTAGTTTCGCCTCATTTTTCACCTTCTCTCTGACCCTTGAAACCAAACACGCCGTTTTGCTACATTTATATTTGTAAATGAACTGCATTTTAGGATTGGCCAGCAAGCTGCTGAATACTTATTTCCAAAAATAGTTTAGGTGCACTGGGAAGGAATTCAGTGTTTAATATGTGTACTTAATACATAAAAACTGGTATTTCAAATAAGCAAGGAAAATGCCATTTTTTGCAGTCTGATTTCATACTGACTTCTGTTGCTGGTTTGTCTGCAGTCGTGTGATGGGTTTCTGCAGAGCCAGGCTCCATATAACGATCTCTCCATCATAACTCCCAGTAGCCAGAAGTCCCAGACCTGGACAGTGATCCATGGCTAGGATATCCTCGCCGTGCTGACGACCAGACTTCCAGGACAGGTCTGCATTTACATAGATGTCCTGTACTCACAGATACACTTCAGTAAATGTCTTTGAGATCTCCGGTTCTGCTGTGTCAGACCACCATTAAAACCCTGTTGTCATAGACGTCTCAAGGTATGACCACAAAAGCACACACCGAGTTGAACAGAACCAGAAAAAATGCACTTTATGTGTGTATTCTGGCTAAAAGCCCTTTTTGCTTTTAAGTATGGGTTAGTATGATTGAGACACAAACTGGCCCTTACTTCTGAGAATGCAATGCTATACTGAGCGATCAGTCGACTCCAGCCTGTGGCTAGAAGCTGGTTGTCATGGTGACAGATGACCCCGGTGACCTCTGCATTGGAGACGGTTTCTAGTTTATGAAGATTGAGGCCATTCAGTAAGTTCCACACCTATAGCAAGAGAATGCACACGTGCAGAACGTACTTAGAAACTCTGTTTGTAAAGGTATTAGCAGTAATATCGTGAAATGGTTTTACTAATTAACATAACGGTTTTCTATTTTAATATAGTGTAAACTGTAATGTATTTCTGTGATGCGCAGCTGTATTTTCAGCATCATTACTCCAGTCTTCAGTGTCACATGATCTTCAGAAATCAGTATAATGTGTCCTGACTTGTGACACTTGCCTTGATAGTGCCATTGGTGGCGGCGGAGATCAGTCTGCGCTGATGTACATCTAGTGCCATACAGGAGACCTCCTCCTTACCGTGAGCGTTCCTTATCTCCATCCTCTTAAGGCCTGTCTTCACATCCCACACCGTCAATGTGGAGTCGGCGCAGGCTGTGATTACCTAGACCACGTTAAAATAAGAATCTGTAACGTTCAGTCCACAAACCATCAATCAAACGAACTCAAACACCAACCTGCTGAAGATGAGGATTATAGAGGGCAGAGGTGTAAATCCCAGACCTGCTGTTGGATTCGCTCTTGTGCAGATGCAGTGTGGCCAGATATTCTCTGCAGGTCACCAGGAGCACAGGATCAGGGGTCAGGCTGAGGAGCAGAGGAAAGCTGCCATGCTCTGGAGTGAAGCCTAGAGGGATATTAGGGAACTGCAGCGGAATTGTCTTCAAGCATTGTTGAGAAGAAATATCCCATATTTTTATCTATCTATCTAACTGTCTGATTGACCTGTCTTGTCTACCCAGTTATCTATGGCAGTGGGAATGATTGGATGGCATGGTTGATCATGTGCAGATTGTGCACATTATGTACAGTATATATGTTGCTACAATATCCTATAAACCTGGCTCACAAAAATATGGTACACAGAGAATAAGATGCACCATTGTTGCAAACATTATATACTGTATAATCACCTTTTCTATTCTCCAGATGTATTCCTCTCTCTTCTGACTGACATCAATGATGACCACAGAGCTGGCTGGACTTTCTGATGAAGTAATAATGAGCTCATCATGCGGCTCGTATAGGATTCTGTTGATCGGCTCATTGTGGATTTTTGGGATGTGCTGATAGGAGACCAGTGCGCTGTGTGCATGTATATCCTGTATTCATGAAATAATTTTTACAATACACAATTTTAGATGTAGAAGAAATGGATTTAAAGGGGTCATGAACTGAGAAACCAAAATTCCCTTGATCCTTTGACATATAAGAGGTCATTGTACAATAAAAACATCCTGTAAGTTTCAGAACTCAAAACATTGTCATTAGTCTAAAAACAGCTTATATTGAAGGCAGTCTGCCAAAACGACAGCTTGTGGAATGTACGACTCTATGATGTAATAGTGTGACTAAGCACCGCCTCCGCAGAGGAACATCAACGCCTGCTTCTACATCGCTGCCTGTTTAGCCCCGCCCACCGATTCTACAGCTCTGCCTGTTTAGCCCCGCCCCCGATTCTACAGCTCTGCCTGTTTAGCCCCGCCCACTGATTCGCGCATGTAGTGTAAATAACAAGAGAAACCAAATGATAAAGATGCTCCAAAGACAACAAGACGCTGTGCAGTGCCAAGCTGTAGGAAAACAGTGTTTGTGTTGCCTTCTGATCCTAACGTTAAGAAAGAGTGAATTAAGATCCAGACCGTGTCAGTCAGAACTTGGTCCTTTGTTCACTTCATTTCACCGCGGATTCGTTTACGAACAAGGCACAATTAGACACAGGATTTTCAGAAAGATTGAAGCTAAAAGACGACGTTGTGCGACTATATTGGATCCGACAGTAATATCGCAACACACAAGTGTGAGTAACTATTGCTTTGTCTCTTCTTACAGATCGTTTTATATGTATTGAGTTATTTATGCATTTTTGACCTAAATGTGTGCTGTATAAATGCATCATTCATTCATTCATTCTAAATCTCAGCAGCGTTCATCTATGAGGAATGTAGACAGTCAAACATACACAGCTATTAGCCAATCACAGCAGTGGGCGTTTACTTCTGAGTCTATAATCCGCCACGCCTATTCAAACAGAGCGTTCTGATGTTTTCTGATGTAAAAATCTTTATAGCATTATAAGTGGACCTCAGAGAACAGTACAAAATAATAAAAAAGGCAGTTCATGACCTCTTTAAATATGGTCATTTTATCGTATACTTTTCTATTATTTTTTAACACATTTTCAGGGCTAAGCTGTCTTGGCACAATACTCATCCTCAAGTGAAAATGCATACACTCACTGGCATAAAGATTTGAACTGGGCCGGTCTGGTTGGTAAAAGGCATTTCAAAGAGCCCCTTGAAAGGCTGAAGAAACCACAGCAAATTCACAGAGCCTCTGTCATCGCCCCACATCAGCACACACTTTTCTCCCGGAGCCTGGAGACGCAGATCAAACATGACTCACGGTAAACTAAAACAAAACCAAACCAGCTTGGAGAATTAGCCAGCTTAAAATAAATTCAAGTTCAACACTGGGGCATGAAATGTCAGCAGCCTACCTCTGTGTCATACCAATAACACAGAGCAGTAGCAACATGACTCAGTCCTGGAAAAACACACAGAGAGAGGAACACAACAAGGTCAGCATGGAAGCAGAAAAGCGAACGTCTAGCCTACATCTGACAGGCTTGTTGGCTCATACCGAACAAGTGAACCTGCTCAAAACTGCATGTGGTGGTAACGTCAAAGAAGTGGATGCCCCTGTTCAGGGTCGCAACAGCAATTTTGTGAACATTTCCCAAGTAGACAGCATCGGTGGTCCAGCCCTGGAAGCTCTTTCGATACTGCCTTTTATTAAAGGGGCCGGCACACATCTGCAGGGACGAGGGAGAGGTTTCGGACTCACAAAATATGACTGTAAACATATCATTCTGTGAATTAAGTGTTAATATGTCACCTCCAGAGGCTTTATGTTGTTCAGATGTCTGTTCCACACGATGAGAGTCCCTCTCTTGCTGACGCTGATGTAACGCATGGGTGGAGACTGACTCAAAGCCAAGACTCGCACGATTGGCTCTTGCTGACGAAATGAGTGATTTTACAATTAGTGTGGTAAAAACATTGTGAAATCTCACATTCTATGAACCTAAAACACTAATGAACAAAGAGAATATACCGATAGAGACAGACAGACAGACAGACAGACAGACAGACAGACAGATAGATAGATAGAAGAAATCCTCAAAACTCATGGAGTTAGCATGTGCTTGGACTCGTCTGTTGGGTTTGGATCTCACTGAACGCTGCCTAAAGATCGACTCCATGAGTGACCTCAGATGACTCGACTGCAGCGACTCCAACAGACGCACACTCCAGCCAGCAAAACTGAGAGGGGAAATATGGAGTGAAATAAACCTTTTAGGCGAGTAAAACTTTGTACAGGTGGCTAAGTAGGCAATATGTTCATTACATTCAAATACAAATTTATAGTGATGCATGGATGAGAAAATTCTAGCCGATATTAAAAATAAGCGATAATTCTTTATATTTGGAAGACTAGCACAAACCAGTCTTAAGTGTCAATTTTTTTAGATTGAGATTTATACATCATCTGAAAGCTGAATAAATAATCTTTCCATTGATGTATGGTTTGTTAGGATAGCACAATATTTGAAAATCTGGAATCTGAGGGTGCAAAAAAATCTAAATATTGAGAAAATCATCTTTAAAGTTGTTCAAATGAAGTTCTTAGCAATGCATATTACTAATCAAACATTAAGTTTTGATATATTTACGGTAGGAAACTTACTAAATATCTTCATGGAACATGATCTTTACTTAATATCCTAATGATTTTTGGCATAAAAGAGAAATCTATAATTGTGACCCATACAATGTATTGTTGGCTATTGCTACAAATATCCCCCAGCGACTTAACACTGCTTTAGTGCTCCGGGACACATATATGATTGCATGCATAAACGTCTGTGTGAGCAGTAATGCTGTGCCATATGATAAACTAATGTGAAAAACCAGACACACTTACTGTTGAGTGGTGCTGGGGGTCTCCTCCTTATAGACCGTCCACGGATCCTCGTGTGGTTTCAAAGAGTCCATATCTAATAACAGCAACACAGTTTAGAGCAGATCTCCTGAAAAGAAGATAAACACAGAAATATGAGTCTTTTCCTATACTTTGTGTTCTTGCAGTCTCTTACTCCTCGACAAGAGACAGATATGCTCCTAGATTAATCATCCATTAGTTACTAAGACAGTGTCCTGCAACAACACAATTAAAGAAGTCTTGGTCCATCTACTGAACACATGTATTAAACAAACACCATTTGTGTTCATCAGGTAACTGTAGGACTTTTAAATGTAATCCTCTCTCTCTCTCTCTCTCTATTTGTAGCCAGAATTGTTTCTTTACTGTCTGCAGTTAGACACCAGTGTTCATGTACAGTATGTAGCACGATTAGTAATGTGTAGCAGAAAGAATCCGTTAATAAAGACAGATCTTCCAGCGAGTGTAACTGTCCTCGAGGATCTCATCGAGGTTAAACTCTTATTCAGTCTAGAAATGCTCTCTCGTCTGTGAGAAACGCACACTGCTGAGGATGAAACCCTCGTGTTCTTGTCAGAGAAATGTCACTCACCTGAAACTATTTTCCGTTCGTTTTGATTTGAATTTGATGAGCGCCGTTTCATACAGTAACACAAGTACAGTGTACCACGTGGCTATAAACAATAATCTTCTAAACAGTTACATTTGGTTCTGAATGAGCCTACAGTGCAGAATAAGCGAATTAAAGACAGCAATGATTCATCTCCGAAAGCACAGACATAAATAACATTTAAAAGCTGTGATTACTTCATACAGTATTCACAGTTTGTTACAAAAATAGCTTTGTTCTCATAATTATTCCATTTGCGATATGATCATTTTGTTGTAATTGTGGTTTTGGTCTGTTAGCTATCACTGTTTTCATAGTGTGAGATGTTTGAAAACTAGTTTGGGTTAGTGTGACCTGCAGACATTATTATAATGCTATATGAAGCCCACAATTAAAAGACAATAGCATACTGTCCCATACACATGGGAAATTGAGGTATGAGGTATACTTTGAATTAGTTTTAATTTTCATATTATATATATATATATATATTAGTTAAATCTTTAGTAATTTTTTTTGCATGTTTTTGTCATTATTATTATTATTTTTAATATAGTTTGTATACGTTTTATCAATTTAGTCTTGGCAATTATCTGAAATGTAGTACATTTTATTTTTTTTATATTTTATTTTGTTTCAGTTAAAGTTTTTAAATGTTTATATAAGTAACAAATTGTTTTTTTATTTTTTATTATTGTTTTAGTTTTGGTTAATAACCTGTAAAAAGCTATTATAATTATTTTTATTTATTTATTTATTTTTTCTGAAAAATCCAAACACTTGGAATGTAGTGCATAAATCATATGCAACATTTTGATAATTAATGTGATGGTTTTTATCCCCGATGTGCCATACTGACCATCAAACATCTTATATTATGGAGCTTGCAAATTGTATATTCTGAAATGTTTTGTACTGTTGGAGTTCTTCCACTTTTGTAATGTGTGTGTGTGTGTTGGCTATTAAATCAAATCTGTGTTTTTGACGAAACTCTTGAGTTGCTTGTGTGTAATGGAATAATGAATAGTTCATACAAAAAATTAAAATTAGCTGAGAATGTGCTCACCGGAGGGTCATCCCAGATAAGGATGAGTTTGTTTCTCATCAGATCTGGAGAATCACTTGCTCACCAATAGCAGTGAATGGGTGCCGTCAGAATAAAAACATCACAATAATCCACAACACTCCAGTCCATCAGTTAACATCTGGAGAGCCGAAACAAATCCATCAAGGCATTTTTAACTAAAATATGAGTCTATAATCCATAATAACACTTCCTCCAGTGAAAAAGTGCATCTGCTGTCGTCTCTCGCATCACAATCCAGCCACAGATGTGTTTAGAGCTGTTTAAACACTGCTTGATCTGTGCAGATCTCTCTCCTGATTCACACCAGAACACTGACTCACTGGAGGAAGCCTTATTATGGATTATAGACTCTATGTATTTTAGTTTAAAACGCCTTAATGCCGGATGTGTTTCAGCTTTTGTCTTCTCCAGATGTTAACTGATGGACTGGAGTGCTGTGGATTACTTGTGGATTATTGTGATGTTTTTATCAGCTGTTTGGACTCTCGTTCTGACGGCACCCATTCACTGCAGAGCATCCATTGATGAGACACTGATTATAAATATCAGCGGTCGCTCTATGATGAAGAAACACACTCATCTCGGATGACCCAAGGGTGAGCATTTTTTATAGACACATGTAAAACATACTATACTATAAATAACTATTTCTGTTTCAACGTGTTAAACAATTATATTAGTCACGTGTCCTAACCTCACATTATCTACCCTGCACCTAATTAAAATATTTAGTGTTGTATAACACCAACTGTTACAATTACTATGAAAAAAATGTAGTGAGTAAATATTCTAGCTAGTATTCAATCCCGTGCGCGTGCAGCCGCTGCTGTCCCTTTAAATGTCTTCGTCTTTTTCCGGAGAGTCTCGGTGAGGTTCGCTGTCAGAACCGCTGCTGCAAGGAGGGCAGTGACCGTGTTTGTGCAGATATCTCTCATTTCTCGGGTTCAGCGGGAGCCGTGGCATAATAAAACACCTTTACAGCCGTGAAGCGAAGTAACCTGCCTCTCCACAAATGCAAGCTATTAAATGCGTGGTGGTCGGCGACGGGTAGTGGATTATTGTGATGTTTTTATCAGCTGTTTGGACTCTCGTTCTGACGGCACCCATTCACTGCAGAGCATCCATTGATGAGACACTGATGCAGTGCTACATTTCTACAAACCTGATGAAGAAACAAACTCATCTCGGATGACCCAAGGGTGAGCATTTTTTATAGACACATGTAAAACATACTATACTATAAATAACTATTTCTGTTTCAACGTGTTAAACAGTTATATTAGTCACGTGTCCTAACCTCACATTATCTACCCTGCACCTAATTAAAATATTTAGTGTTGTATAACACCAACTGTTACAATTACTATGAAAAAAATGTAGTGAGTAAATATTCTAGCTAGTATTCAATCCCGTGCGCGTGCAGCCGCTGCTGTCCCTTTAAATGTCTTCGTCTTTTTCCGGAGAGTCTCGGTGAGGTTCGCTGTCAGAACCGCTGCTGCAAGGAGGGCAGTGACCGTGTTTGTGCAGATATCTCTCATTTCTCGGGTTCAGCGGGAGCCGTGGCATAATAAAACACCTTTACAGCCGTGAAGCGAAGTAACCTGCCTCTCCACAAATGCAAGCTATTAAATGCGTGGTGGTCGGCGACGGGTAAGTAGTGTTTTGGGGAGATGATGGAGAGGAGCATCCTTGGAAAAGCCGTGTGGGGTATTGCAATGCATCCATGACCAGTTCTGGCCTTTGCATTTTATTATTTGCTCAACGTAATATCCTCTATTTGATCCTAAGCGTGTGCATGCGTGCAGAATGCATGCACAACTGTAATATTATCGGAATCTGTATAGCTATTGTAATGAGCGCATCACAGCGTGATGCATTCATAATTGTTTCATGTATTATTTTAATCGCTAATGGCAGCATGCATTGGTCATTAGACGTTAAATGAACGGGCTTTGAACAGAAATGCATTGGGTGTTGAATGAAAAAGCCTGAAGCAGATGCTATGGTTACCACTCCCTCCTTTAGCGTGCACGAGAAGTGTGTGGAGCGCGTGCATGTGAGCTGAGTCCGAGTCATTCCGCGAGTCGGTTCTTTTGAAGAATCGATTCAGAAACATGATTCGCAATGATTTGACGCCAGGCAGGTGTAAGCTCAGTGCTCACTCGAATTGTAGTTTCAAATGCCCCCTTGTTAAAGAATGTTGGTCTGCTAGACACTGATTTCAGTGTGTGTGATATATTCTGCTATTTTTCTCATTGTAAACATAACATAGAATGTATAGGGGATGCATTTATGTTTTCGGCAAAATATTATATTCATAAATGTAAATTTTCTTCAACATTACCCGAATGACATAATTTTCTTTCTGACTTTACCTAGTTATGACACTTATATAGCTATAGCAACAAAAAAACTGTCAAATTTGGTGTAAATCAAATCAAATTCTAATACAAAAGAAAAGAAAAATAATGAAAAAAATGGTATATTGGCATCTTGATAAATAACACATTTTATGCATTATAAATCATGTTAAATATTTAAGGCTTTTTACAGCGATTTGCAGTCGTGTGACTATCGTGTGAACAGAGCTGGGCAGATTACATACAAGAATTGTAGTTAGTAACGTAATTCATTACATTACACATTTTGGGTAACAATATAATCAGACTACTTTTAGATTACTTTTCACCTCTCGTTTTTCACATTGATTTCAATAGGAGAATCTGTACTGTACTGTATATTATATTACATCAAGATTTCCCAAACTGTTCAACAAATCAGTCAGGTGGTGATTCGAGAACCGCTCGTGTGTGAGTTATTCATTCGACTCAAATGAACGAATCTTCTTTCAATGCACTTTTCATTGGTGTGTGTGTGTGTGTGTGTGTGTGTGTGTGTGTGTGTGTGTGTGTGTGAGTGTGAGTGCGAGTGTGAGTGTGAGTGTGTGTGTGTGTGTGTGTGTGTGTGTGTGTGTGTGTGTGTGTGTGTGAGTGTGCCCTCGGGCGAGTGTGAATCTGGGACAGGGTCTGTCACTATCTGACATACTAACACCATACTAACACAGAAAGAGCACACGAGTAGCACTAACTGCTTTTACTTGATGCAACTTATTCATCATATAACGTTATGACCTAGTGCTCTTTCACCATCATTTCCTCTGCATCTATGTGTTTTATATAAATGCACAGTAATGCATCTCAGAGCTGAGCTGAGTGGTGTGTGTTTCCTCAGGGCGGTGGGTAAAACCTGTCTGCTGATCAGCTACACCACAAATGCCTTCCCCGGCGAGTACATCCCTACAGTGTGAGTATATAGTGTGTGCATCTGATTAAAAAAACAAATGGAGCACTTTATTGAACCTTTAGACAAATATAAAAGCAATTAAAAAAAATTGCATGCATATGTGGTTTATGTTTGTGTTATATTTGATGCATCAGGTTTTTATGGCTCATATAGTGAGAATAATGCTTGTGATGTAAACCAATGAGATCTTTATAACAGTGCAGCAGATACTGACATAAAATGCTATAAATATCAGCGGTCGCTCTATATCTCCAGTAATCTGTCTCAGAGAGATGAGAGTGAAATGCTCCAAACATATAATGCAGTGATTGAGAGCTGAAGAAATAAAGGCTCCTCAGAAGATGTGAGATGTTCTGGAGGCTTGTGAAGATCATTCCTCCGCTGAGGAACAGTGAAAGTAAAGCTGCTGGAAACAAATGCTCCTCAAAAGATCCTGAGGATCAGATTTGAGACTCTAAAACATGATTGATGGAGAATCAAGTCAAGCAGAGCTGCTTCAGTGCAGTAAGTGTTCATCTGGAGATATTACTGACGTTATTCTGAGGATTACTTGATCAAAACCAGTCTAGATTTGACAGAAGAAGTAAAAAAAAAGCTTTTACGGGATAAAAAAAAAACTCTAAACAATCGACAGAATTGTTGATTCTGCTAGTTCTCATATGTAATTTTTTTCTCCAATAATATCCTTATTAACGCTCATACAGGCAGATGAAGTAGTGCTCCTCACTGAAGTGCATGGGACAGCACTGATCTGCATTTCAATAAGACAATTAGTTGAGCGTTCTGAAGACCTAATGAACTCTGTCCTGATGCTTTATCGAGAGATATTCCAAAACTGTGAGCTGATGCGTCTGGAATGTATTTCTGAGGAACGGCTTCATTTGTGTCAGAGATGAATGTGTGTTCAGTGACGGATCGGAACAGAAGTCTGTTTCTGAACTGCGCTGGCAGTGACTGATGCATTGAGCATTATGTGCTTTTTTCAGATTTGACAACTACTCTGCCAATGTGATGGTGGATGGCAAACCAGTCAACTTGGGCTTATGGGACACAGCAGGACAGGAGGACTACGATCGCCTTCGCCCGCTCTCGTACCCGCAGACGGTGCGCGCCTTCACATTCTGATCATTACAGTCTGCACACATCAACATATAGAGCACAGTTTTCTGTTAGCAGCATTTTTATTTCTTTAGTAAAACCATATCATTTTTAAGCATTCTTTAGAATTTAGAAAATGGAATTAAATACACTTCAAAAGCATGACAATAACAAATATATAGACCTAATTTAATGATGCTGAATTAAAAATGATTTCAGTAAATTATCACATTATTATGAATAAATATTGTTAATGTATTGCTGTAATATTTGGGGGTATTGAGCCCAAATAAAGTACACTCCAAAAAAAGAAAAATTATCTCCAACAAAATAATCTAAAATAATAATCTTCTTTTTCTCAGCAGGTGTAATTTTTTTCTTTCTTGTTTTCTTTTCTTTTCTTTTAGAATTAATTAATTAATTAATTTTATTTGTGTTGTTGTTTGGAAAGGTGTATTGAAAAGCAATGATGAATTGATTCATTTCAAATATATCTTATGTGATGTGACTTTTTCTAAATATATATACACATATATACAGTATATATGTGTGTGTGTGTGTGTGTGTGTATGTGTGTGTATGTGTGTGTATGTGTGTGTATGTGTGTGTATGTGTGTGTATGTGTGTGTATGTGTGTGTATGTGTGTGTATGTGTGTGTATGTGTGTGTATGTGTGTGTATGTGTGTGTATGTGTGTGTATGTGTGTGTATGTGTGTGTATGTGTGTGTATGTGTGTGTATGTGTGTGTATGTGTGTGTATGTGTGTGTATGTGTGTGTATGTGTGTGTATGTGTGTGTATGTGTGTGTATGTGTGTGTATGTGTGTGTATGTGTGTGTATGTGTG